AGTGCGACGCAGGACCTCTTATCGATTTCCTAACCCCCTTCTGTAGCTTTTCCTATCGTATTTCAACCTTTTGATTATTTCACTATAATTGATAAATAATTATTAACATTTTATAAATAAATATTTTGTATATATATACACAAAAAAATATACGGAAGGAATCCGAATTTGTCTACACATGTTTTGGAAGCAGTAATAAATATAAAATTAAATTACTTAGTAAAATGGTGCCTAAAATATGTTTGGCTAATGTGGTAATATATATATTTAAAAAAAAAAATCAAATAATCGAATTTTATTCATAGTTCTACACACTATGATTTTCCATTTAATAACATCATGAAACTCCAATAAATCCCATCAAATTACCTTTACTCTTCATCATAAACCTATGACTTCCTGTCCTACAGTATCCTTTAACAATACCCCACTTATCCCTGTTGACCAAATCCGATACCTAGGACTCCACCTTGACAAACGACTCACTTGGAACCCCCATACCAGACTGAAACGACTAGAAACCGCCCGACGTTTCCGACTACTCCAGCACTTACTAGACAAACGCTCTAAACTGCCAACTATTTACAAAAGACTCATATATATTACTATAATAAGGCCTAATAAGGACTTACGGGATCGAGCTTTGGGGCTCTACTAAACCATCAAATTCCTCTCGTATCCAATCCCTACAATCCAAAATCCTTCGTAAAATCCTTAATGCTCCCTACTTTGTCACAAATAAAATCATCCATAATGACCTTAATGTACCATATGCTTCCGATTTAGCTCAATCCAGATACCTGTCCTTTCATAATAAACTTCTAAACCATCCGAACCCTCTCTTTTCCAACCTTGCTACCTCTTCTATTCCTGATAACCCTCCGAGGCGTCTGAAAAGAAAATGGCCTCGGGTCCTTCTAATATAGAAATATAATTGGAGTGCTACCAATGGTTGTTACATCTTCATGTTGTACATGTCATATTACTTGTTCATATTTACTTGTTGTATTTATTATTAATTACAGTTGTAAATTTCGTTAATAAAAAAAAATAATAATAATAACATAATTTTTTCTGTATACAACTACGTATCTTTCCCCTTTTTGTTATTATTATCGTTATCTCCTTTCCCTCTGCTGCATTGTGTGATCTGAAAATGTTTTAACATTTTTTCTGTTAAAATATGAAGCAGCTGTAATTGGCGTTTCACGATGAGCAGCACTATCGCGGAGGGTTGCTCACGATTTGCAGACAGATGGAAGATGTTTCTCTGAAGAAATAATTGGTTGGGTATGAGGCGTGCTTCTCGTTTCTTATTCTATTTGATATCCCTTTCGGCTTTTCTATTTCAATTTTTAATTTATAACGGTATTTTTAAAGATTTTCAAGTATTACTCTTATGTTATATAAGAGCAATACAGTTGCGTAAGATTTGTAATTGGTGCCCCGAAATACTCACATGTCTCTCACCACTACACTGAGTGGCTCTTTTTCCATTCGAAGACAATATTTCCTAGGTGCGTTCCTCTATCAAATCATCAACAATTATCTTTCGCCTACCACCTTCTCCAATTCAAGTCCTCAGTCGACACCCTTTCCATAAGATCTCGACCTTCCGACCTTTAAATTCCTTCTCACATATCTGCCTCATTCCAAAACTTCTTTATTACTAGCTCCGTTAATTTCTGGAATTCCCTTCCTATCAAAATTCGGCATTCCTCCTCCCTTTCTACATTTAAAACCCTCCTATTCCAATTTCTGTCCCGCAGTCAGATACCCGCTAATCTTTTATGTAAAATTACTATTCATAATGATGTATTTATATATAATTCATCACTTAAATACTCATACAATTTTTACTATCAGATTCGACTTTCTTATGTTGTACCACTGTACATAGTTTTAAGTGTTTTGTATATAGATTTTTTTTTTAATTTTGTATATAGTATGTTTAATTAATGTTTTCTTTACTCATTTCTCTTTCTTTTAACCTTTTATGTTTGCATTTATTTAGGCCAGATATAATATTTTAATTTTGTACTTTTTTATTATTCTAATGGGACATTGTGTCAGAATAAATGTTTTCTCTATTCTATTTTATTCTTTATACGTATTAAGACAAGTCCGGTAGCGCCATTATTTTTAATATTTTACTGGATAGTAAAATCAAGCAATGATGGTTTTCCTACGGGAAAGGATAGCAAAATTGTCGAATATTTACTGCCGTAAAGAGAATCCGAAAGATATTTATTTTCATTAACATGTTATCTAATAAATAAGAAAAAATCCAGAGTCGTCGAACGATATAATTATTACTCTACCATGATTAATATAAAAGACTATATATAGACTGTAGAGGCTATAAAAATCTTGAGTAAAGGTTTTTATATTTTATTATTATTACTATTATTTTTTTTTGGCTCGATTCGAGAATTATTTTAATGTAATGTTCCACATTTGTACCGACTTAAATATCTTTTTTATATTTATCTTTTGTTATTTCTATATCAGTCTGTTTTATTGGAGCTATTCGCTTCGAAATCTACACTCTCCCAACTAGATTTGAAATATTGAATAACTAACAGTGTAGCTTTCATGATTTTTTTAGTATTTTTTCTCTGACGAACCATACTCTTTATCGATAGTCGATCAGGAATATTGATACTGATAATATACAGTATATCCCGTAAGTAAAGGGAAATATTTAATGTGGTGATAGCAGACCTCAAGAACTATAAAAAAGTTTATTTATATAAGTTTATATATATATATATATATATATATATATATATATATATATATAAATTGTTTATACAATGGTCCTATTTTGCGCAGAAAAGTAGGAAATTTGAGTTTTGTGTTTGTTTAAGTAAATCATGTTTTTTTGCTGAATTGGAATCGATATCTAAAAAAATATTTAATTTAGGCAATAAAAAATTGTTTCATAATAAACTAAACAAAATTTGCCCTAAACGAAAGGAGATTTTATCTTTGTTAAAAACATTTTAATGGGACTTTTAAGTTACTAAACTACGCTAAGTTTTGGTTTTCTTAAAAACATTGATTATTCACGATTTTTTTTTTATCACCCTCTAACTCGACTACAAAAACTTACTTGTTTACTAAGCTTATGTCCATGTTGATCTAGTTAAGATTCATCTCTAATATTTTTACAAAAATAATATAATATAAAAATATTATATGATTGGATATTCTGTAATTAATTGTTTAGCAAAAATAATTACGATAGTATTTTAAAAATATTCTATATATTTTTTTTTCTATGACCTGGGATGTATTGTAGTAAATTAATGACAAAAATATACTTTTTATCTATAGATAAGAGAGTTAAAAAATAATGGTTTTGCTTTATTTTATCATCTTTAAGTCGTAATGCATAAGTGTTTTATACAAATCTCTATCATGAGAATTGATCATTGTCGTATTTAGTGGCCAACTATATGTTTATAGTACCATTACCTACGTTTTCTTGAGCATGATTTAAGCAATTAATGGTTTAGTAATATTTTTTTTAAATATTGAGTTAAGTTATTATTAAGTTCAAAATATTATTTTTTTTTTTAATAACGAACGCTGACGCTCCTAAGCAGTGCCCACTGAAGGTAGCCGAGACTGAATGCCATTTCAAAAGCCTCTTTGAAAAGAAAAATCTCTGCAAACGTGCGGATTACAAAAATCGCGCCCCGATGCCAAATCTGATGTCCATCGATGTACAATCGGTAAAAAAAAGCAATATAGCTGGACACATCGCCGAGACCGGACGGAGTTTTGATCAGCACGATAAAGCTGAGGGTGGCTTATGTACCAGAGCCTCTGCGTCAAGGGCGCACAATCTTAGTCTATAAGAGAAACGATGATGCCAACAGCATATCATGATGACCAATGACCATTCATTCGATTGTGCGCCGAATTATAAAAAAGATTCTGGACCACGAACTGAGGAAACAGATCACCTTCAGCTGAACTCGGAGAGGTTTCATTTATTTAAGGCCTGCCGGCGGAACACTCGCCAGCGCCAGAATCATCGACCCGTCTTTCATTAACGTTTTCCTATTTAGTTTTTTAGTGTCCATGTCTTCGCTTAACAGGACCAGATCATCCGCATAGCCAAGCACGGGTGTTGTCCCACCCAGATGCAACCCATTTTCGGTAAGCATTACCTCCGTAATGGCATGTTCTAATGCCAAATTGAACAGGACAGGCGAAGTTTGTTGGTACTTAACCTTACCAAAACCCGAATACAATTCTGCCTTTTACGTTTCGGTCTACCCATCTGACGTTTTTCCATCCATTATCTATCCAGTGAATTTAGTGACGACCATTAACAAATCAAACATCTGAGATGTTATCACATCAATAATATTCACTGAGTAATCCCGCGTTGTGTAGCCTTCTTAATACTTCAGTGAACTCCTACTTCTACTTACGAAAATTTCTATTATTTCATTTTGATTATTTCAATTCCAAAGAACTTAAGGCGTTGTTCCTCCGTAATATCTAATTCATTGAAATCATCTTCGTTCAAAAAATTTTTATTTAAGGTTATTTTCTTCATAAATTGAAGTTCTACTCAGCCAAATTCCCTCAGTCGGTTCCTCTGCTTCTTCCTGTCCTTTCCTTCCTCCTCCGTCAGCCCGCAGCATGCCATGCTCTCAGCCACAGCTCTCCACCTGACATGAGGCCTTCTTCTTCTACAACCCTTGGTCTCCAACTCAAATGCCGTTTTGGGAAATCGTTCGCTATTCATCCTTTTCACATTCCCATACCACTTCAATCTTCTTTGTTCCATTATCTCTTGTAAATTATTCCTAACTTCCACTCTTTCTCTAATGGTCTAACATTTGATTCTCTGCGTTCTTGAGACTCCAGCCGATGTCCTCCAAAAATCCATCTTATTATTAATTTACAAATTGTTTATTGATAACAATTATTTAATACATACTATCGTTCAATATTAATTACAATTTTGTTTTTTTCAGGTGATAAAGTACTGCGACCACCTCCATGGAAAATGGCACTTCTCAGAGGTACGTGCCATATTTTCCAGGCGCTACCTTCTCCAAAATTGTGCTATCGAGATATTTTTGGCCAGCAGGAGTAAGTGGAAAATTCAATTTCGTTGTTTGGTAGTGGGGTGCTCTATGTCTGTTTTTCTTTCTTTTTTGTTTTTTTCTTGTAATACATTTTCTAATCCTATTAATATTTCCTGCTCATTTCCTTTTTAATAATTGTGTGTGTAACGTGTTTAGGAGCTTTCTGCCTGCCTCGAACTAATACGAAGTATTAATGCTTGGATAGTACGCTTCCACGAACATTGTTTCTGACTGCTTTTTAATCCACTTGCAACATACGAATCTATGTAGATAATAACTTCCAGACCATGAAACTGCCCACAGACTGTACTTGAATAATGACTCGAGTCTGTTTTTGTAGTATAAATAAACTAAAATAATAATAATAATAATAATAATAATAATAATATATATATATATATATATATATATATATATATATATATATATATATATATATATAATAGGAAAAAAATATTTGTGGGATTTTTAAAATATATATTTATTTTTATTGGAAAAAATAACGAAGAACAACCACAACAAAAACACAAAGACAGATTTGAGTTAACTATAAAATTAAAGAGTTGTATTTCTTAAGAACACTTTACTAAGGGTTTAATTTAAATTCAGTTCTTTAGTGTATTACTTACGAATGTTCCCCAGAAAAATTTCTCAGGAATACTTAATTAACGTTAATTGCAACCATTGAGCTTTTCATAAATTTTCTAATATTATATTTTAGCAGGTTAATATTAATTGCGAATCTAATTTACTTTAACAAGGAATATTTTAAACCTTTTTTGTTAAAATTATTTTATTGAAGCCCCCCTAAATCCTGGATCCGCTAGTGTATTGGGGCATTTCGAGTGACCTCCACCCCCTACAAAATAACGAGGTTATGTAGGCCAAATAACCTAATATTTTTGTGGGCTACCTTTTTTCACGATATTGTCATCAACATTATCTTGCGATTCAACTGGAAAACAAATGAGTATTCATGAGTAATTAGCGTATCATTAAATAAATTAATTTAATGAAAAAACGTATAATTTCTGAGATTTTTTTTATATAAAAAAAAGTTGTAGGTTTCGATAAGACTAGGCCATTCGCGATGTTTTAAAGGGATGTTAATAATTTGATAAAAAGGGATCTGTACCATGGACTAGTATATACAGCTAAAATAAAAATTGGAAAAAAAAGAATGAAATAAATATATAATAAAAAAACTTATAAAAATAAAAGATTTATAAAAATACTTGTCACAAATCCATGTCTATTTTATTCTCATTCAGATTTTTTTTTTTTAATAATAATTATATATTTTTTTATCGCTGTTATTCTAGTTTATGTTTATTGTGCACCCGGGTCTGCTGTACAAACTCGAAAAATTCCTACCGTCTACATACTTCCTCATTATCCGTTCCTACCTTACTGATAGATACCCTAAAGTAAATCACAACAATGCCTATACAGCCCGCATTTCCCAGTCTGCAGGCGTTCCTCAAGGTGGTATCCTAGGTCCTATCCTTTACACAGTTTAACAGCTGACATCCCAACACTGTCATCACCACATATGCCGATGGCACATGTATCCTATCAGTTAATAACCCTTCAATGACACATCACAAAACTTGAAGAATGGTGTCAAAACTGGAAAATTAAAATAAATTCCAATAAATCCCATCAAATTACCTTTACCCGTTGTCGTAAACCAATGACTTCCCTTCCTTCAGTATCCTTTAACAATACCTCGCTTATTCCTGTTGAACAACTCAGTTACCTAGGACTACACCTGGACAAACGTCTAACTTTTCCTGAACCCTCATAACCAGACTGAAATGACTAGAAACCGCTCGACGTTTCCGACTACTTCAACACTTACTAGACAAACGCACTAACCTTCCAATCAATTAAAAAAGACTCATATACATGACTATAATAAGGCCTATTCGGACTTACGGAGTTGAGTTATGGGGCTCCACCAAACCTTTAAATTCCTCTCGTATCCAATCCTTACAATCCAAAATCCTCAATGCTTCTTACTTTGTTACAAATAAAATCATCCACAATGACCTGAATGTTCCTTATGTTTCAGATTTGACCCAATCCAAATATACTATCCTTCCATAATAAACTTCATAACCATCCCAACCCACTTATTTCTAACATTGCTTCCTATTCAATTCCTGATAACCCTCCGAGGCGTCTGAAAAGAAGATGGCCCCGTGATCTCCTAATATAGACATATTATTAGATTGCTACCAGTAGGTAGTTTCTCAACATGTATTTCATGTCATTATATCCTTGTACGAATTTACTAGATGTATATTTTTTTATACAGTAAATATCATAAATAATGAAAAAAAAGTTTATTGTTTTGTAACGTGCATGCAAAATGCTTTTTGGCATGATAGGTGTGGTAGATTTTTTTGCCTAAATACAGTAGCACAACACCCACCTTAGTGTTAAGGTAAACTATGCCTTCATTAACAATGTACAGCATAAAAGGTTAGTTTATAAAACGATTTTTTTTTTTTTCTCGAGAGAGAAACTTCGTTTTAGGACCTTACTGGGAAATATATTTTTGGAAGGTTTTTATAAATAATGCACTAAGTATGTTTATTTGAATTTAACCCTTAGTGTGGAGTTCCTTTGGAACGTTACATACATACATACATACATACACACGGACTTTAATTTCCTAAGACATAGACAAAACCTTAAGAGGGTGGATGTCTAGCTGTCTTACTGAGTTAAATCAAGTTGGAAGAAGACGATCTGGAAGATGCATGAAAGGATCCATTAAATATGTAATTTCTGTTTTATTTTTTTAAAGATTATTTTCCTATTTATTTATCTTGTTTCATTCTGCTAAATATCAAACTTTTAAATATATCTAACAAAAAAAAAAAAAAATCAAACAGTGCCGATTCAATATAGGTAAGTAATATACAGAGCTTTGATTTTTATACAAAAATAAAAATACAAGAAATATTCCATACAATATACATTAAAAAACAGTCAATATGCAGAAAAATATATAGTAATTAAGCTCCAATTATGCAATAATACAGTTAAAATATTCAGTTGCACTAATTTGTCCTACACAAGGAAATCGAAGAGAATATTAAAAATTATATGAAAATGACTTATTTTTTTATATCATTACTGAAATGATCTTTCTATATTAGGAGACATGATAACAGCAAATTTATATCTACTTAAAATAATTGATTTGTTTTCAACAAAAGTTTTGAACAATTGAATTAAAAACAAACGTTTGAATGAGTTTTAAACACTGTTGCATTTTTTTAATCGTAAACCTCGAGCCAAAATTTTAATTTTGTTAAAAAAGTATGCACTTCAAATAATAAAAATATTACTGCTGGTAAAAGAAATTTAAGCTGAGTATGGTATAATAAATTAGTTTAAAAGTAATGAGAAAGTAAGATAAAAATTCATCAAACTGAAAATGACCATATTCTAACATGTCATTTGCTGAATACGGTGTTATTTTTTTTTATTTGTAGCTGTTTGTTGATTTAAAATAACCTATGATCGTCGTATGCAATTTCATATTCCATGTTGCATTTTAATTTGAAATATTCCAAAAATGCAATATAAAATTTCACTTAGGGATCAGAACACTGATTCGTAGTGATAAGATATTCAATCACCATTTTATAAACTGTACGCCAAAAAAATATGCAATTTTATAAAAATTCTGGCATTGGTAATATACAAAAAAAAAATTAAGTGTCTTTTTTTTTTAAATTTTTGTGAAAAAAAAAAAAAATAATTGAGGATAATTTATTATTATTTATATTATTGTTTGATTTCTTCATTAGCTTAATGTTTATCCAATAGCAATAAATAAGTAATCAGTCAACGTTTCTCAAGTTGAGTAAGTTTATAAATGCAGACAAAAGGTAGCACATCTGAAGGTACGTTTAGAAATTTCACAAACTATGAGAAATACAGATATCTAAATGGTTATTTACGTATGCTACTGTTTTTCTTTCTTGTTTTACATCTGCTGTCGATAAAAAAAAATTATTTTCCATTTCCAATCCTTATGATACATAAAGTGGCGAAACTGCTATGAAATCCTCCTTGAGAAACTTAAGGCTGTTAGAGTCTTACAATAATGCCTTAATTTTTTTTATTTGTAGTTTAAGTTCCAACTCTTTTTCAAACTTTAATAATAATGATAATAAAATAATTTTTAAAGAATACATTTTATATAGAATTGAACACTGGATCTTTAAATGCATAGACACCTCCCTCCCTCATCCCCATCATACATAGGTCTGTATATTTGAGGAAATAATTGCTCACTGTTCCCTACAACTGCAGAGCATACTTGTAGATAGTGAATGTATCATTTTTATCTCGAATAAAGGTTTTGGTCAACTAAAATAATTCATAATTTTAAACTCTAAAATGACAAGATAGAACTATAATAATATTGCACGGCTGCTCAGTTGTGTTGAGTTGCAACAGTATAATTAATCAATCAATTGATAATATTAAAAAAAATCAAGATAAACTTTAACTATTGAAATATGATATCATAACTAAAATATTGCTGACTAAATTCTTCCTTAAATTGTTGAAAATTGCAAATGGATAGTTATAATATGCAGCAATAATTAAATTGTTTAAAATTATTTTATGAAAATATTGTCTATAAACTTATTTTTTCACTGATTGTGAAGGTTATATGAGAATAATTTAGTCTTGAAACGTAAAAAGTTATTATATATATATATTTAATCATACATACTCATAAATATATAAAAACTAACTGTTTACTAACATTAAAGTTAAATAATATTAAACAAAAAGAATAGTAAAAATATAGATTTTTGAACATACTATTTAACATTTATTTATTAATATAACATAAATTTGCAGAACCTTTTCACTATTGCTACAATCTTACACTATGCTTAGCTATTCCTATGCCCGAATCTATTAATTTTAAGACAAAGATATCAATTTGATGCACAATGTAACGCTTTT